AAATATGATTGCAGCTTTTAAATTTTGTGCGCGAGCCATTTTTAGTTTGTTGGAAAAGACACACCCCCCTGGTTCACAAAATTTAAGTTCGAGAAATTATTTTCATTATTTTACATTATAAGTACCCAAAGAAGCTATATATATAAAAAAACCAGCTACAAATAGCTGTTTTGCGAAATTGAGAGCAATTTTAAATCTGTTCAGTTTTTTTTGATACACCCTGTATAGACCCCGGTGAAGATATAAACCTACAATTATGTGTTGACTTGCCAATGAAATTTTGCCCATGCAAAAAGCATCACTGGAAACGTGATTTATCAGGTAGTATTTTATAACTTCTGTCCCCCCTTGCCCCTCCGAGCAAAAGGCAAGAGGGGCAGCTGCCCCTCCTCCCCCCCCTTCCCAAGTTCCGGCGTCCCTGGGTTTAATAACCTGAAGGGAGATTCTAATCGCGGCACAGTCCATGCAAATCAACCTGGAATAACATTTGGAATATTTTTTCTCTATAGGCCAAAGGAATATTATCTTTATGATTTACTGGATTATATCTACCGAATGAACCGTCGAAAGTTCAGACATTACAGTCTACCTCGGCCTTTGTACAAGTAAGTCATTTAATTATATTTACATACTCTCTGTACTGTGTACAAGGAAATTTAAATGCTACTCCTGACCGAGCGACAAAACGTTGCAGTGTTTTAAATTTTTGGGGCAAAGTTCAAATCTCATACATATTAACCCATATGAGTCAAGATTTAGGAACAGTTATTTTTTTAGACTTTTACGGTTAGAATTAGGGTTTAGGGTATTAGGGTTAGGATTAAGATTAGGGTTAAGTTTAAAATACAAAAGAATACAAAATTACAGAAGTCTAAAAATAGTAACTCTTCCTATAAAACGTAACAGGTATATATTAACCCATTGAGTGCTAGCGCTATACCTTTGACGAGTATAAAATCGTCTGGCATTAGAGTAAAATAATAAAATAGGGCGCATTAGGACGCAATGCAATTACTTAATCGGTTAAAATCTAGGAAAGCTATGTTGCCCCCTAAATAGATGGTAAATGGTGTATGGAATACCACATTTTGCAGTCATAGACTGAATTCAATGTGCATAGCACAAAATTAAAATTAGGTAATATCATTCTCTCCTCTTTCCCACTCTTCTTCGACGTTTACCATTTACAATCTCTATATAATTTTAGTGCTGTAGCCTGGGCAGCGGAACAAAGTATTTTTGACCCACGTCTAACACGGGATATGTTGTTTAGGGTATGTACTATATATGGACAAAATTATATTTTTCATTGATAAGATTTCATTGTGGTACAACAGTACATTATTATATGGCAAGGCGGTCCATCTGCAAAATGCTTAATTTTGATTGGTTCCCGAGAGGTCGGTAAGCGACAGTACGGACCGCTGACTGATCTCGTATAGGCCTAATTCCACTACGAGCGAAGTGCGAAAAATTTCGCGCGAAAAGGTTGAACGTATGCGCAACATGATTTTTGAGTGGTTCTCTGTCTGCGAAATGTTTCTCTTCGCCGGGTAGTTGAATTCGTTTCTATTCCGTTGCAAAATGGAAATAGCGAAGCCAATCAAATGCTTGTACTGTGGAAATCACTGACGAGAGAAAATTTTCGCCCAAGTGTGTGTTCGCAAGAATTTTTTTGCATTTCGCTCGTCGTGGAATTAGGCCTTGAGATGGATCGCTGGCGACGAGAAATCTGAATTTTATGTGTGACTTTGGTAAGTTTTAATAATATCATATCTTACTATTCTACTCTACTTTGTGTTGAAGCGCTGTTTACATACATCTATAAGAGCGCTGTTTATGAGTCAGTCGCTTAAATGAACTAAAGTGAACTTGGACTGGTCTGTTGTCGACTTTTTATATATTTTAATATATCTGACATTATTGTTTTATCTTTTTCAAAAATTGTTTACCGAAATTTAAAATCATCATGCGTTTTTAAATGTTAAAATCCATAAACATTGACATGTTTTTCAAAGAATGACAAAGAACAAAGAAATATAAAGAAAGAAATTTTCTGTTTTGACATTGAGTTATGTCAACACAGCTCTTAGCCAACCAGTGTTCAGAATTTACAAATGCTATATAATTATAAAGAGCGCTTCCAGTTGACCTGGAAATGAGCTCATGAAGGATATCCGCGGAAGACAACTTAAAACGAATCACATCATAAAGTGTGGAATAATGCACTCCCGTTTCGTTCAGAATATCATGTTGAGCATTTTTTTGGTATAGGATAATAGGTACAAGAGATATAATGTGCACTTAATAGATAGCTTAAGATCTACGACGCCGACGTCAGCTAGGACGTCAGGGCTAACCAGAGGACTGGGACTAGGACGTCGTCCTAAATAAATAAATTCCACTTTAGATTCACGACGTCGACATTTAAACTATACATATTTACATTCTTTTGAAAATGATTCTTAAAGAGACACATGAATTCATTACAGTTTGCTATGCTATTGTATTCACGACGGTAAAACTGTTGTTATGAGGTTGTCGATGTTTGGTGGACGACGAGCAAATTGAAAGAGACACATGCACACTTTAAAAACTATTACCAATCTACTTTCGCTTGCCGCCCTAAATATTTGACGTCGTAGATACTTGAGCTATCTATTTATTTAGGACGACATCCTAGTCCCAGTCCTCTGCTTAGCCCTGACGTCCTAGCTGACGTCGACGTCGTAGATCTTAAGCTATCTAATGTCTCCTTCCAAAGGAAATATTTTGTTTTGTTTTCCCAGGAGTTTCAACACTAAGATTCGAGGGAAAACAAAGCAAACTATTTCCCGAGGGAACAGACATTCAATGCTTTTTTTTATATAGAGACGAAAAAAAATATATACAGTTATACTTCATGAATTAAATTCTTTAATGTAAATTATTTTAACAGTAAAAGAACCTGCTAAAAGTTTTTTTAACAGCATTTCCTGCTACCTGTTGAGTATTGTACTCCCCTGTTAAGTACTGTATTATTTTTGTAAAATGGAAAAACTTTCTTTCTGAATTTTTACTCCATATTGAGCAATTATGTACCTAGCTGGTCAGAGCGTGGAACAATTTTTCACTTGTTGTCCTGCGGGATCAGCCAATCACGTTTAGTTCAAGCACTAGTTATATCATAATGAGTATTTGTATAATCTGTTATAAAGGACTCTTAGGATAATTTGGTATGGGGTAGAACCCATTTTCTTTCCTATTATATGACGAATAATTTATATTTTGTATTATTCCAAAAGTAGGCATATATTGCTTAATATATCATTGTTCTTCATACAGCAATTCAATACGGATGAACTTACTCAAGGTTTGCCAAGACTTGAAGATCTTGGAGTTGAGCCCACAGCTGTAGATACAGCGGCAATTACTGTATTACGACGTCATCGTGATTTATGGACATTTGAAGAAGCTTTGGACGAGGAGGAAATATGTAAACCAACCAGTGCTTATGCTTGAGATGAGCATTGTTTAACTTGATGACGTACAAAAGTAATTTTATATGTAATATTGTAAAGCTGCTTTATTCTTAATGTTCTCGACGTTTTCCATCTAACATGTTGCTTTAAAAAATGCATTTATAAAATTATATGTCCCCTTTATCAAACCACCTCTCCAATAAACTTCCTTATTTTGAGGAGGAAATGTATTAACTCTCTAGCCTTCCTATTAAGCCACCGCTGTCCTTCCATTATACCAAAGAAACATGTTGGTTATATAACCATATGTCGCGGTCACAAGATGGTTAAAGATATTTCAATATTTTGTCCGCAAAAAAATATTTGCCTCAATCACCATAGTTCTAGCTCATCCCCAAGAGTAACCTGAAGTACAAGAGTATATGTGGTATAGTATTAAATAAAGTTATTTTAGGTTTTTAAAATTCATACTTCTTGAGATATCATGTTTACAAACATGTTGATTTTTCATCAATGGGGTGTAATTAACATGGTAACCATGGCAACGGTTACTTTGAAAAACATATTTTTTATGTTTGTGGTACCATGTCCTAAAAACTGATCAAAGATGAACATCATAACATTAAAACACACAAAAAGAGGTATTGGACCAAAGTTAACGTTATGGTATATAAACAATGTAGTTTAAACTTTTGTTTAAGATGGCTCAATACAATTTTTTAAAAATGGGAAATTTGCGATTTAGATGCCTATTTTTGGAATATGTAAAACGACATCTAAAAAGTTACGCAACTGTCGTTGCTATGCAAACAATGACGTTCCAATACGGTGGATTTTTTGCTTTTTAAGTAATTTAACTCGAAAACGACATCGGTAACCCCCAATTTTTATTTCATAAAATAGTTTCTCTTAGTATATTGAATTACGCTGACAATTTTAAAACATTTCTGTTGAAATTTTTCAAATTATCTAGAGGTGATATTTCATGATAATTGTTTTCGGCTTAACAGAATTTTTTTAAATTGTCAAAACAATTGATTATACTAAGGGAAATCATACTTTGAAATACAATTCGGGGTCATCGATGTCGTTTAAGACAAATATCTGTCATCTTGAAAGTTGGAACGTCGTCGTTGACATACTATAGTCGAACTCTTTAGATGTTTTATATCAGTTAGATATTTTTTATTTTTCAACAAGAAATAATTGTCCAAAAATATGGACCTGAATCGTGAATTTTTCAATTTTAAACAAAAAAATTGTATTGAGCCACCTTAATAGCAAATCTAGCTTACAACAACCCCTTTTTGAAGGTCAGTCAAGGTGAATCAAGTGACAGCAGCTTTGCTTGTTTGAAGGTCAGTCAAGGTGAATCAAGTGACCAGTAGCTTAGCTTGTATTGACTGTACTAAACATACTTTGAACTCTGAAGATCAACAAAGGTGAATCAAGTATAAGCAAGATCATAAGTGTACATGATTGTTAAACGTTTTACTTTAAACTAAGATCAATCAAGGTTCTTGAATCATGTATAAGCAAGATCAAATATACATCAATGTTATACGATCGGATTGCTTCACAATATAGCCAACACCAGCACGTAATCAATCTTATATAATATTCAAAGGAAGCACGACTATACGTTCAGGCAAAGACTATATATTCTAGAACTGCCAGGTTCGGAATTTTAATAGATTACGTTCAGACTACCTTGTACATGCAGCTGAGCAAAATAATGCTGGCAGTTTGTTTAGAAATTAAATTACCATTCATGTAAACCCAAAATACTTCCAATAGAGCAAATCGAGAAATTTAAATGAAAATCATTCAAAATGACTGAATGTTTTGAGAAGTGAGATGCTTGGTTTGCAAGCGATACTAAAATGTAACGCCGTTTGTGTTCAAACGAAGCTGCGAAGCGCTCCGCGTTTTTAAATAATTTCGCTCCGGTGTAGTGTACTGCGACGGCTAATTGTGACTTTTCTGCGCCGTCTTCAAAGTCTTAAATTTTGCAGTCCCAAAACCATGGGCGTATGAGCGGGGAGGCATCGATCTAATAGCCTGCTTCTACCTAGCATGACATAAGTTACCCATGCATGTTAACCATTTCCTCAATTTCATCATTTGCGAGACTAGTATATATGTGACTAGTATACCATATACTTTTGCCACAGAATAGAAATATAAGGTTTCTAGAGAGCGTTTGCACTCATTCCCCAGTGTCCTGTTCCAGAGAAGAGTCTAATTAAAATTCTTTTGAATTGAAACACCAACATGGCGGCTGTGACGTCATGTGCAAACGTTCTATTCTGCGCTTTTGCACTCATCGTGAAGGTCAACCAAGGTGATTCAGGCGACTGCAAGCTTTGTGCACAGGAGGCCCAGAGCCTGGGTCTCTTGTGGATTGTGTAGATATTGTATACATCATTGTATTTCAGTTTGAAGGTCAACCAAGGTGAATCGCGTGTCTGTGAAAATATAAGCAAGATCATCAAGTGAAAACGATCGCTTGATTAAAAAAATCACTGAAGTATGACAGTGTCCTGTATTTTAACATGTCATGCAGCAATCATTCTTATTTCAAAGGAAACATGATATTCGCATAATAATATCATGATTGCAGGTATTCCCTTTGTTCTCGCAGGGCAATTAATAACTAATACACCTCATTATATTCATTTTTTCTAATCCTACCGCTTTTACGTCATGTCAGGTAGAATTAGTTCTAATCCTACCCGAAACGACGTCAAAGCGGGTACGATTAGAAAAAATGAATATAAATGAAGATATCTGAAATCGCCAAAACTAAATAAAGACAGGGAAAACAATTATACCATTTAATTTATATACCAATATTTATTTTTAATTGGTTTTTAATGGCCCTGCCAGAACAACGGGAATACCCGCAATCATGATATTATAAGGTAATAGCATAAAAAGAAGCGAATTAGCTATTGAAACGTCCCGCCCGATGAGGGTCGTTTAGTAAAATTCCCTTGGGCGCCGCTCGATTCGGGTCATTTAGTAAAATTCCCTCGGACCGAGGACCTCGGCATATAATTCATAGGCGTTGCGGGCACCTGAAGTCCTTACAGTGTTTGGCGTATAGTATTGAGTATTTATTAGAGACCTTTAGATTTACGTTTACGGTAAACGTCAAACCGCTAGCGAGGTTTTTGATTTTACAATTCTATTATAATGGCTTTCAGCCCAGTTTTGAAATATATTAAACTTATTAAACTTGTGCTTTTTTGCAATGATTTAAGAAATCAAATTAACCACTAGTCATGCCATTCACCAAAGCAGTATATTAAGATTTGGCGTTTGACGTTGACGTTTGGCGTATAAATTTCATGCTTTAACGACTACAAGCCCTCGTAGCAGTTCAAGCATGAAATTTATACGCCAAACGTCAACTTCAAACGCCAAATCCAAAATTTACTGCTTTGGTGAATGGCATAACTAGTGGTTAAATTTCTTTCTTAAATCATTGCTAAAAAGCACAAGTTCAATAAGTTTAACATATTTCAAAACTGGGGTGAAAGCTATTATAATAGAGTTGTAAAATCAAAAACCTCGCTAGCGTTTTGACGTTTGCCGTAAACGTCAATCTAAAGGTCTCTAATTAAATAATTTGCATCTCTATCTATAGAAAGAATTCAATGATCTTCATTTAAAATCATCCAAATGAAAAGAAACAGTAAAATTGATCAGGAGTCAGAATGCAGTTTACCTTGAAGTCGGTTAGTTTATAGCATAGATGCTTTCTATAAATTTGGAAGTGACAAAAAAAACATATTAACTCAAATCGTTTCATTTTTGAAATTGTATTACTGTGTCATGGCTACTTATAATCATGCAATCAGAAATGCAAAATTTTGTTAAGAATGCCAATCCTTTGTGATGGGTTTTTTTCAAAATTTGTCCATGTGATATGTAAATGTCATTTCACCATCCAGTTCCAGCCTAATCCAGCCTTCTTTCTAGTTTGGTTTGATTGTGTATGTAGCTAGTCCCCACAAGGATTTCACTTTTGAAGTCCTTGTAAGTACGGTCGTGTTCATTTTTTTACACCAGTCCTCGTTATTCCTTTTGGCGAATACATCGCACTCGGGTGCTCATAATGCCTGGTACGCCCGTATTGATGTGTGTGTGTGTGTGTGTGTGTATTATTATTATTGGAAATTCTAGGGGTACCATGGGGGCGGGGGGGGGGTTACAAATGGTAACGTTTTTCGCTTAAATATACACCCCGATAAAGATAGAGCATCGTTTAATATAATCAATGTCTGAGTACATAATTTTGAAAGCTCGTCTTTGTACTTTCTATCAAATATAAACTTGAACTTGTTTATATCGTATCTGAGAATGCCTATTTTATTTGGATTTTATAAATATGCAAAGTGGAAACATATTGTAAACAATAACCATTTTTTATACTGTGTTGTACTGAATGTCAACCAAGGTGCCGAATCAAGTGACGTCCAGCTTTGCCTTTGGTATGTTTGAGTTTTACCACATTGTTTGTGACATGTGTACATTTTATACGAGACAATTTACTTCGAAGTGTGAAGGTCAACCAAGGTGAATCAAGTGTATATATATAAATAGGTAAGATGAGTGAACATCGTTAAAATTAAACGATCGGATTGCTTCACAAAGTGATCTATATTTCATCAGTGGTCAAACCTATTTGAAAGCAAACATGCTTACAATAGTATTGGCTGGGATTATATTAATTCTGCTATGTATTTGGATTGCGTGGAAGCGTTTTGAATTCTGTCATATTATGTCTGCAGTTCCTGGTCCCAAGGCTTGGCCTGTCGTTGGCAATGCATTGCAATTGAAGAGGGATCCACACGGTACGAGATTCTTAGAAAGTATTACCAGAATGTTGGGTTTACATTTGAAGTTTTCTGCCTATTGACTATTGTTAGCATTTCTCTAACGTCTGTATTTATAAGGTCTCTTGTGAGTCTGATCACAAGTGATCACAGTTTATAGACTAAGTCTCATTTCTATAAACTGTGGTCTGATCGTCTTTGTTGATTTACCTTCCCTGAAATTCTGATTATATTTGTTTCAATTTGCAAGCACGTCATATTGCTTTGGTCAGCATATGTTATAATTTATGATTCCATTCAGTGGAAGGCCTTTTCAGACCTCTGATCAGTGCCATAGGAAGCTTTTTGGAATTGTGGGGGAGGGGTGTGGGGGACTGAAATTCTCTGAATGATATTTTGTCCACACTTTGAAAGAAAATATACTTGTGAGGTGGAGGGTAGGGAGGGGGGGGGCATTGCATTGCCTTAGCTAGAAGGCTGCGTTCTCTGTTCTATTGTGGCTATAAAAACTGAAAAAATAGCAAAATAAAACGAACCTTTGTTTTTATAATATATATGCTTATAAAAAAGACTTGTTAATAATTCATGAGGAAATTCAAAGGAAATCACTGCTGTGTTGGTGGTTTTATATGTGATAAAAAATCATGTTAATTTACATAATTATTCATAAGTGATCTTATAATATTGAAGACTAATGTGCTGTGCACTCGTGTTTTATATTTGATAAAGCACTCAT